TATGCATAAATAGTAAAAAAATGAGCAACGGGCAGTCCCCCTCTTCCTAGAAGCCCTGGGAACCACCCACCCTGAGGTCATCATCCCCTGCCAAGTCCTAGTTGGAGGCAAAGAGAAGAAAAAGGGAGTAAAAGTAGCAAGAGCAGAAGGGTAGGCAACCTGGAGACAGAAAAAGGAGCTTTCAGTTTCGTCCTTCTTCTTTTTTCTTTTTTTTTAGATTTATTTGTGCATACAGAACTGGAGTACAGGCCAGAGGCTCAGCGGCAGAGAGGCTTCACCAGAGACAGAGTGGGGAGCAGAACAGGCAGATCGATGAAGTCCACTGCTAAGGGGAGCAGGCGGGTCAGGAGAGGGCTGCCGCGCCATGTGGTCAGCTCCGGGGCGGGATGGAACTCGCACTGAGGCGGCTGCAGCCGGCTTGCAGTGCTGCGTCCCAACCTGCTGCGGCACCTGGGAGGACCCGGCATCTTCATTCTTTATGACTGACTGGCTCGTTCTTTGCTTACTTCCAGAGCTGCAGAGATACCTGTTACCATTGATTTTCAGAGGGCTTTTTCTAAAAACCTCTGTAGATAGGACTGTTTGTCTAAGTCAAATGAGCTTCCCTTGCCATTGCCCACCATGATTTTATATATGTATGTATGTATGTATGTATGTATGTATGTATGTATGTATGTATGTATGTATGTATGTATGTATGTATAATAGTTTATTTTTACATCATTTTGTACTTTTTTTTTTTTTTCATCTCAATTGTAATCCCCGTGGGCTTCCCATCACTGAGTCACCCATGTGCCATCACCATAGTCCGGCACACTTCCCTCCCCCCACTGTTTTTGACCCCACTCCCCACTCCACCAGGATTTTCTAAATAGACCCATGCCAAACACGGCCACCTCTCGGGAGGCAGAGCTGCCAGCAGGCTTCTGTCTTTCTACCATTGACACCAGGGGCAAATTGCATGTGCCCTTTGAGCCTGTATTACCCATTTTGCTCAACAGTTGGTCTAATCTGACTGCAAGGATTTGGAAATTTCCCCGGAAACCCAACCCCACTGAGCCAAAGGAACACTTCTTTTAGCAGACATCCAGCAACTCTTAAGTAAATCGGTGGGCGCTGTCTTCCACCACATTCACCCAGCAGAAGGACATGTGGAGCTCCACCATCCTGACTGCCAAACTGCTGGACTAAAAAACCCGAGACCAAAAAAACATGCCAGTTCATAAATGCAGAATTAGCTCGTTTTACTGCCGAGCAAAATACCGTGAATACATACAGATACAGTCCACAAATGGTGGTAGAACTATTTTCTTCTCTCCTGATAGGGAATTAGAGCTACAGTTTCCAAACATCTGACATTTTCAGTAAACACTCAACAGTTAGTTTGCACAAGGAACTACCTTGTGCTTACTCAGACATCCTGTTTTGGATAATTTTTTTTTTTAATCTGCTTACTCTGTTTCTGCCATTTTTAAGAGAACCATCTCCTATTGGCACCTTATATTGTATCCAGAACCCAGATCCCTCACAGCCTTCCACGTGCCTCAGTAAGTTTAGGTTCAGTTCAGTCTCCCACATCCTCCCTAGTGGTGGAAATCCCCCCCATGTGGTAGTGTGTACTCTGGCCTTTAATACCACTCCTAAGGGTGGTTCTTGTCCTGGCTGGCTGCCAGACACTTCCCAGACAACAGCAGCCAGCCGGGAGACATCCTAGATGACCTCATGTCCGGGGCATGATCAAGGGAAGCCTGGCTGGGCAAGACCTGGAGAGTCAGGAGATTCCCCACACACACATACACCTGCCTCTCTGCACCTCCACGCCCCTCCCCATGCCTGCAGTCCCTACCCGCGGAGCTCAGCAGGACCAGCAGGGACCACCTGCTGATTTGCGTGGCTTGCCATTGCAAGTTACTGCACAGTTTTGCTGCACCCGGGTGTGGCATGTTGCTGTGTTTTAGAGAAAGCACGCCTTCTCCTATAAAGAATTGCCAAATTGCTCTCCCAAATAGTTACTCCAATTTACACTCCCACCTGTAATGTATGAGTTCCTGCTTTCACACATCCTTGGCAACATCTGGTGTTTGCAGACTTTATTTTTTCCAATCTGATGGGTGTGAAGTGATGTCTCATTTTGGCTTTAATTTACATTTCTCCACTACTGAACATCTTTTCTTATACTTGTTGGTCATTTGGGTTTCCTCTTCTGTGGATTCACTGTTCATATTCTCTGCCCTTAAAAAAATAATATTCTGTCACCCTCTGATGGATAGGAGTATTTTCTATATTCCGAGTCCTAGCATTTTGGTTGGTCTTTTTGTAAGTATCTTCTCCCAGTCTATGGCATTTTTTTTTTTAATGGGCTCTTCTACAAAAAGAAGTGTTTGCATCAAGTGTATCCACCTTTTCCTTGATAACATATGATTTGCATGTCCTCTTTAAGAACTATTTTCCCATCCTGATGTGAATGTGTACTGTAATCTCTGCAAATTTTAGAATGTTTCTTTTTATACTTAAATATGTGGTGTAGCTACAATTTATATTTGTGTGTGGTATGGGATTTTTTTTAATAATACTATTTCCATATAAATAACCGGTAGTCCTACTATCATTTTACTGGGACCACAGTGCATCTATAGAGAACTGCCATCTTTATGACTTGAGTTTTCGCATTCAAGATGGCATATCATGGTTTAGTACAAATTCTTGCTTTTCTTCCATAAAGCTTTTGCTAATCTTTTCTACTTTGCATCTGTTTTTCATTACTATTACATCAACGGGATCTTTTTTTAGTTCTAAATTGGGGTTGCTGGTGTATAGCAACTCTAAATCTTTAATAGTAATGGTCAGTGTAGTAACACTGTCAAAGAATATTCTTTGCATGACACAGATTCCTGGTGTTTGGGTAAAATTTGGCTAATTTTATGAATCTATTGTGTGTTCTTAAAGAAGATCTTTTTTAATTTTGTACTGGGTTTTGTGTCTGTGTATTAGGTGAGACTTGTAATTGATTGTTCCAGTCACCAATATCCTTCCTAAATCTTTTCTGCTTCACTTGTCAATTAGTGCACTGTAGAGTCTTAAAGTGATCTGTGATCCTCTGGATTACTCACGTGGACACTGAGTTCACTATTATTCTGTTTTTCTTGTGACTTATTCCTTTTTTATTACTACATAATAACTTTTTATCCCTAATAAGGTTTTGTCTTAAGGGTCTCCCTGGTGGCACAGGTGTTAAAAGCCTCAGTGCTATCAAGCTGTTGCCAGCCACTGCAACACAAGTTTGATCCCTTGCCAGGGAGATGACCCACATGGCTCAGCAGACCTCTCTTGTCTCACCTGCTGCTCCCCTTAACAGTGTATTTCAGATCCACCTATTCTGCTCTCCACTCTGTCTCTGGCCAATCCTCTCACCGCCTCTGCACCTCTGGCCTATACCCCAGTTCTTTATCTATGCATAAATAAATAAACCTTTAAAAAAAATTTTTGTCTTAACATATATTTGCTTTTGCTGTTACTAGAGCTTTCCCCTTGGTTTTGGTATGACTAATTAGCACTTAAGGATGTGTTTAGTTGCAAATCACAGACAACTTGACTTACAGTTTCTGGAACAAATTGGGGGTTTCTTTTTCCTCAAGAAGATCAGGTAGACGTAGTCCTACCTGCTCAGAACCTTCGGGGTCCTTACATGTTTTTGCTCCCCAGTCACACAGTAGTACCATTTATCCTCTTGTTCCCTGAGATTTTATGGGGTGGGGTTGGTAGGCTATATAGCGGAAGGGGAAAAAAAAGAGACTAAGGTGCAGCCTGTCTGTAGTAGCCATGGTCGGACCCCCTGTGTTAGCTTCTGTAAAAGCTTGTGGTGCTGGGACTGTAAATGGTTTGCTGTTGATACACTTTTCTGAAGGTTCTTTAATTAGGAGCTGGAACTTCTATTTCTAGAGTGAGTACAATGTGACTGTCATCCTTAGCCAATGAAATCCCTTGGAGGAAAATGCTTATTCACGTCCCCTTTATAGCCAGAAGCTCAGGTCTTAATAACCAGAACACATTCCTGACTAGCAGAGCACAAAACACTTCTATTTCAAAGCATTAACATAAAAGAATTCTACAGTCAGGTTTTAGCAAGTGTGTCTGTATGTGCGCACGTGTGCATTTTCTCCAGAGAGAGATGCTACATCATTTCCCACAGTAATTTAGGAGAATGACTACATTTCAGTGTTTGCCATGAAACCTAACATTACCCTGTATCACTTGCTGGGGCGTTGGCAGCAACGCTGTGTGGCATCAGACTCCTCCTTCCCTCGTCCCTTTTCTAAAACTTCCAGTGTATCTGATTCACCTCTAGTCTCCCCCCAGACCACTAGGACAGGTCTGTGGAAGCAGAAGCAGTCTTTGTGGCACATATTTTCATGGCCTTTATTTTGTATTTAGCGTAGAAGAACTGGAGTGTAAGCCAGAGGTCTGGGGGTGAAAGGATTCACCAGAGACAGAGTGGGGAGCAGAACAGGCAGATGGACTGAAGTACACTGCTGAGGGGGGCAGCAGGCGAGATGGGAGAGGCCTTCTGTGCCCTGTGGGTCAGCTCCCTGGTTGAGGATCAAAGTCAGGCCATAGTGATGACAGCGCTGAGACTTAACCCCGTAGGCCACCAGGGAGGTTTCCTGTCACTTGTACATTTGACTGAAATGATTCATGCTGTGCTTGAGCTCCCATATTTTCCCCTGTTTGAGATCAAGACGAGCTTATAACTCAACTTTTACAACTTTACCCCTGAAAATACACCTGAATATTTTTCACTCACTAAGTATTCCCAATTAAACGTTTTCCCTCACACCTCTCCTGTAGTTGACCTAAATGTTTCTCCAGACAGGCAGCCCCACCTTGCCTTTCAGATCGCCCATCCCCATTATAATCACACAGTCATTTTCGCTTACAAGTTGGAGTCAGTTGAACTAATTGGGGTTCTGCTGTATGTTAAGTGTTCTAAACTCATCTTTCAGCCATGGAAACAAAGAAGTGTTTTCCTGCCGAGGAATAAAGCTGGCAGTGGATTGGTTTTTGGAGAGAGGCCACAAAGATGTTACAGTTTTTGTTCCTGCTTGGAGAAAGGAGCAGTCCCGCCCCGACGCCCTCATCACAGGTAAGCCCGTGTCGAAGCCGGCCCTCTCAGGCGGGGCTTTCTGTCAGCGCCGCGTTCTCTCACCCTGTCACTTTTGTATATCGTTGACTCGATATACACGGTTGTCGTTTTCAAGGGCCTTAAGGTTATTTCTGAATTTGAAAAACTATCTTCACTATTTTAAGTAGGTCTTCATCTTTGCTACACGAGTCAGGTTTGTTCACCCTTCATTCCTATGGAAACATTTTACCTCAGAGTTTGTGAAATTCAGATGGTTAGAGACATGCTGAGTGTCGGACCTGGAGGCTCACTTTGCGCTGGGCCGTTTGCCACCACGTCCATTTCGCAGGACGTGGAGTGACACTGAGCTGCTGTGCACCCCTGTTTTCTCCTTTGCTTGGTGAAATCAGACTGGGGGGCAGTGGATTGACCTGGGAGTCCCTGGGGCTGTGTCAAGTAGGAGGCAGCAATGACTCCAATGAAGTAGATGTGCCTGGGCTTTACATTATTTTCTGATTTGCAAGAGCCTGTGTTACAAGCAAAGATGTGCTGTTATGTTAACTGCTCATTATTGTTGCTGGACGTTTTGCTCACACTGAAGGAGTCTCACTCAGCCCCCAGTCCTCTGGCCCCTCTCTACCTGATCGTTGACAAAACTAGAGGAACCCGCATGAAGAAAACTATACTTAAAACAAGGAAACAGGAAGACCACCTGCAATGTGTGTACCTGAAGGGAAGGTATTTTAGGACTTACTTTTTCTCTACAGTCATTAAGTCATTATTAATATGGCAGAAGATTAGACAGACGCCAGGACGTGGACTCAGACGCTTTACCCCATAAAGCGGGAGGGGACGGAGATGGAGCTGGAGCAGGGCCAGCCAGCACTGCTGAGACCCCCGGGTGGCATTTTGGGGGGAGGGTGCATTTATATATTTATTTCTATGTACCCTTCATATATACGTCCACCCTCAGCTGGCAGCATGTCACAGTACATTTCAGTGGGCTGGGAATTAACTATTCAAAATGAAACTATTAGAGACTAGTCTTTGCATAGCTGGAGAAAATCTTCGCAAAAAAAAAATTCTTAGTATAAATTATAAAGGAAAAACAGAGAATTAATGACACCAGAACATAAACATTTGTATTTTGGAAAACTTGAAGATGAGAATTTATTTTTATACCTAACAAGAAGATGCAGTAAGAGCCTATGTGCTTCACATATAACGAGCTTTTCCGCATCTACAACCTCACGCCCTCCCCGGTATGTAAGTGGTGAAGTGGCTGGAATGGATGACTCCCTGAAGGAAGTAGGTGCCAGGAAAGAAGAGGAAAAAAATGTTCAACCTCACTAGTAATTAGAGAGATGCAAATCTTGACAACTGTTCATTTTCAACCTTCAAATTAGCAGAGATTAAGAAACTGCCAATACTCGGTGTCCTGAGGGAATCACTCCTACGCTGTTATGGAAACATGAACTGTTACCACCTTTCTGGAAAATTTTTGTCCTAAAATGTTAATATTCTTGCTTCTCCTAGCCCCCCTTCTAGGAATCATTTCACCACAAATAAGCAAAGAATTATGACTGCAAGGCCATGTAGTGCAAGGTTAAGAAAAGCAGACCCGCCATGCACATTCATTAGAAGGACGTTTCCGTAGGCTCTTCTACATGAGGTGGTGGAATCAGCACTGGGTGCTGACAAAGTGCCCTTACGCAGAGGCAGACTTTATTATCACAGACCCCCACATCCACACCCCAGTGGAGAGGGGAGGAAGCACACAGAAATGACTGGAAGGAAACACACCAAAACATGGACAAGGGTTTCCCTTGTTTCTCCCTTCCTCTTAGTACTGCCCCGTCCTTTCCCAATCTGGGGCCGCGAACTTGCAGGTAGGGAAACACGGTTTCAACATGTAAGTGACTGGGACGCTTCTGGAGTGTAGAAGATCCATGAGATCAAGAAGGGGACATGATAACAGGTGGGTGTGGCTGAGTTTCAGTAAAATGCCAGCTGGCCAGGCCTCCGCAGCACGCCGAGTGCACCCGATTCACGAAGCACACGCTGCTGTTGTCCGAGACGTTGGCTGTTTTCTCCCAGCCAGACCACAAGCAGATAAATGAAACACTGAGCAGCCCAGTATTTTTTCAGTGGACCAGAAAAGAAACTTGGTAAGAAACATTTTTAAGCTCATAGTCACAGACCCAGGCCAGCGGCTGTACCAGTCTTCTGCCGAGATTTAACAGATAATAAACAAGCAAGAGCTCGCTAAGAAGCAGGTGCTGTGCTAGGAGCTCAGACTGAGTTCACATAGTACCTGCACTAACCCCATGTATTTCCTTGTTAGGATTATTCGGTGTCATCCTAGTTAGTTTCCAGTTAGCCTTACTAGCTATTAAATCCTAATGAAGCAAGATGGTGAGTGTTAAGCCAGCACCCTTACTTCTCCAGTCACGGCAGGGAAGGAGGGAGGGCGCAGAACCATCAGAGATGACCAGACACCCCCAGAATAATGACCCTTGAATGTCAGGCAGCGCATAAACTGGAAGACTTCAGAACACACGCACTAAAGTAGCTCACCTGTCTGCTGCTCAGGGATTCATACTGTGAGGGGCTTCCTGTGCGGGGTGCTGATGAATAAAGAGATTGGGGGGAAAAGAGAGAAAGAAAAGACAAAAGGATGAGATGAAGGAGACAGGGCACCCACCCTCGAAATATTTGTCCAGAGAACTCACCAAAAATCTCGGCAGGACAAATCCTACACTGGAAACTGGGCTTTTGATTTCTATTGGTTTTCTGTTATTCGTAAATGAGATCAACACTTCAGTACATAAAATTCAGTCGGAGGACCGGTGTTCCCTGGAGGCTGCTCCGCCCTCTGCCTGAGTCTGCTGCATCCACTCCTGCCCCAGCTGTGAGGACCGTGCTGGTGGAGTAGGGCAGGAGCGCACGACAGGTGGCCACACGCTGTGGCCCAGCCCGACATCCCCACACACTTTTCCCCCACTTCTTCTCTGCGGCTTTTCTAAACCCAAAGTTCCGGTTTACAAAAGCATCAGACCCACAGGCCCGGCCCTCCCCTCCCACCCTCTGCTGGCCTGTGCCCACGTTCGTCCAGTACCTGAGACCTCACCTCCGTGAGAGGACGCCAGCCTTAATGTTGGTGGCCTTTGGTACATACCCCAGAGCAGGGACACAGTAACTGGCCTTTGAAGAGATGGATTTTTTTTTTTTTAATTTAGGGACTGATTAGTAGACACCGAGGTGTAGCAAATCTTTTTACTTTTTAAGTCATGACAGGTTATCCCTGGCACTCTGCAAGAATTTACAGTGGCCAGAAGTCATGGTGTCCAGGAACAACATGAAGAGAGATCAGGATGGTTGACAGAGGATACTTATCATTAGTCAGAAAATGAACTCGTACCACTTACTTTAAAAGCACTCACTAGGTCAGCAGAAGTATAAAGCGGAGGCTACCCAGAGACCCTGGGAGCATTCCGCTGCGTCTCCCCGTAGCTACAGCGTTTCTCCCTGTGATGTCTGGCTAGCTGGACCCCCAGGCAGGCTGTGTGGGTCACCGCCAGGGCACGGATCCCACCACCCCCTTGCTCTGTAACGTGTGGCATCTCAAGACTCTCCTGTTGTTTCCTCCATGACTTCAGCTACTTTTTTTTTCAAACTCTCCCAGGTCCTTCACATCCACAAGTTAAAATAAAAAAAAAGTACCACAAATAAATGCGGGGGCGGCGCTGGTTGTCCACGCCTGACCAGGGGAGGCTGCCAGGGCAGCGCTGAGCCAGGAGTGGGCGCGCCCAGTGCTGCGGTGGGAGCAGGGAGAGCAGATCAGCCTTGGTGCCGGCCACCCTTGCCATCTATTTTTAATACCTGTATTATTGAAAACCCCAAAGAACAAAAAGTATTCCTGGGAGTTGGCGGTGGGCTCCATGTCCACTGTCAGGCCACAATGCCCGCGGCGCGGATCCCACATCCAGCTCCTGCTCCAGCAGCTCCCGTGCACGCAGGCCGCTGGGGGCGTTCTCTGTGTGTCTTCACCCCTGAAATCCTCTCCCACCCCGCGATTCCCGCAGACCAAGAAATCCTCCGCAAGTTGGAGAAGGAGAAGATCCTGGTGTTCACGCCGTCGCGCCGCGTGCAGGGCCGCCGGGTGGTCTGCTACGACGACAGGTTCATCGTGAAGCTGGCCTTCGAGTCGGACGGCATCATCGTGTCCAACGACAACTACAGGGACTTGGCCAACGAAAAGCCAGAGTGGAAGAAGTTCATCGACGAACGGCTGCTCATGTACTCCTTCGTCAACGACAAGTAAGTATGCCGGCCGGCAGCTTGGCGCCTGGACGTGCTGACTGGCCCTGGCTGTGCCACTCTCATTTTGCCATTGGCCAGGCCGCAGATGGGCTTCTTCCACACCCCCGCACTGACCCTGGCCGAGGCCCCTTCCTACTCAAGCCACCAGCTGAGCAGGTTTCCTCAGACGGAATCACCCCTAGTATGGACAGAGGCAGAAGTCCCAGCTCCAGAGAAACGGGCCCGGAACATGCTACCAGAACAGCCTTTCAGAATCTCCTGAGGGCATCGATCGTTTACCTAAGGAGGTGCTTTTTGTAAATATTGTAGCAGTGTGAGCCTGGTCATTGTCAACTCCCACTGGGGAGACCTGGGGCTTAACAGGTGCGGGGAGGTGTCCCTGTTGCTAGTCAAACATGCAAATTGCATCTGCAAAGAGTACATTTCCTTATCTGCTCAATTCATAAAAACATTTCTGTGTACAACATGCTGTTACAGGTGTCATGAAATGGATTTTTTTATACAATTTGGCATGGTTTGGCAGACGCCTCAAAAATATGTACACCCTCTCTCTCGATCCAGTCACCTCACTCTTAGAATATGTAATAGGGACAAAAGACACAGCAGATATGTTCATATAGAGTCATTGGCACTTAGAAGAAGTCAAAGGCAGCTAAATGTACAACAGAAGAATCAACGAAATTGCAGTGCACCCAGTACAGTATTACTCAGAATTGCTGTATGGTGGGAAAGGCAAGTTAAAAAAGACAAAACACAAAACTACAGGTGTGTTTATAAAGTGGTATAAGTGTGTTGAAAGACAGGATAAGTGCAACGCAGACCTGGAAAAGTACTTGGAAACTTCCACTGTTGCTTCTCACTTTTATAATAATATAATGCTCCTCAGCCATGTTGACATTCCCTTAAGCGTCCAGACACTGTTCACATTTGATAGGTAAATAATTGCTGATTTTCAAGTCCAAGTGTGACATAACCAGGAGATCTCTGGAATCGTAACTTCTTTTCCTTCCACGTGCCATGATTTCTTCTTGCCCTCATGGTCAATCCAGGAAGAAGCTTACTGCCTTAAGATGTTTTCCCCTCTCTGCTAAGAAGCCCCTTGGGGTATCAGGAAGAGCAGGGGTGGGGAGTGAGACGTGACTGTCTCAGATTCTGGAGTCTGCTGAAGGGCAGACGCCTCTGCTAGCAGTGCACCTGATGGCTGTGCACGTGTTGACTGTCAGTAACGAACACATGATGCCGTGTTACTGCAACAAAGCTTCATAAACAAAATGCACCTACGCCTGGCTCAGAAAAGTTTATTGATCTCTAAAGTAGAGCTTCATGGGGTTCATAGTAGGTGTTCAGGGGGCTTCAGCTTTCCGGTGGCTCTCTGCCTCCTCCCTCTGCCCCCTCAGCTGTCCCTCCGCACGGCCCGCCTGCTTCACAGACCTACCAAGACCAGAGTCTGCAACGCTCTCCTAAAATATCAGTGCAGTTGTTGTTCAAAGTCAGTACACAATCTCAAGATTGAGAGGAGGGTTAATTAAACCAGGGTCAGCTCAACTCTGACTTGAAATAAAGCAAATGGGAGTTTAACTTAAAACATTTCAGTTATTTTCAGTCAGAAAGGAAAATTTCACATACTGATTTTTTTTTTCCTGTAAATGTTACTTCAAAATATTTGGATTAAAATGTCCCCAGAAGTACCTTAGGGTGAAATTACATTTATATTGTCTTTAAAATTAAACTCTTAACCTCAGACTTAGGTATAACTTTGTATTATGTCCATGACAGGTTCATGCCCCCTGATGACCCTCTTGGCAGACACGGCCCAAGCCTGGATAACTTCCTGAGGAAGAAACCCATTGTCCCCGAGCACAAAAAGCAGCCTTGTCCATACGGTACCTTTCTGTCTTAAGCCCTCAGTCTCTGCCCTCACAGTGCCGCATGCTGTTAACCTTCCGATGTGAAAAGTAAACACTATAAGCTTTAGATGGCACGAGATGCCACTCTTTCGACTGTAATTAATTTAAGGAAACAGCTACAAAAAACACTATCATTTTTACCTAGTCGGCAGGTAGGCACGGCAGTGCATTTCCCTGGGCAAAAGCATGGTTCCAAAACCTTGGTTAATTCTTCCTGGCGTTGGTCTCCAGGAGGCTGAGTCTGGAGTTCCTACAGATGTCTCGTCAGACCAGCATGGTTTTACCACAGCACGGTGGTCTATTTTGCTCTTCAAGGCAGGACGGCCTGCCTGATTATAAAGCCATAGTGGGAGAGAAGAGGCAGTTAGGAGTTAAATCCCAGAACTCTGGAAGTGATTCTTGCCCAGCCAACTTCCCTGGGGCTGTTGCTAGAGCCCAAGTGGGGAGACAGCGCCCTGGCGTTTCCCAAGAGCATGAGGCAGAGCGCGGGGCAGAGCGCGTCTCCATGTTTCTGCCGTGGTTTCGGGCACAAGTTTAAAATACTTCCCAGGACCCGGTGGTGTGCCCCTCCCCTCCCCTAATTTATCTCGCTCTCCGCAGGGAAGAAGTGCACCTACGGACACAAGTGCAAATACTACCACCCCGAGAGGGGCAGCCAGCCCCAGCGGTCGGTGGCGGACGAACTCCGCGCCATGTCCAGGAACACCGTGGCCAAAACTGCCAACGAGGGCGGGCTGGTGAAAAGCAACAGTGTGCCCTGCAGCACGAAGGCTGACAGCTCCTCTGACGTCAAGCGCGGCGCTCCAAAGAGGCAGTCGGACCCCAGCATAAGGACACAAGTCTACCAGGACCTAGAGGAAAAGCTGCCCACCAAAAACAAATTGGAAACCAGGTCTGTACCCTCTCTAGTCAGCATCCCGGCTACTCCCACTGCAAAACCCCAAAGCACTGCATCTCTAAGCAATGGCCTTCCATCTGGAGTGCATTTCCCACCTCAGGATCAAAGACCACAGGGACAATATCCTCCAATGATGATGGCAACCAAAAATCATGGAACGCCAATGCCTTATGAACAGTATCCAAAATGTGACTCCCCTGTGGACATTGGGTATTATTCCATGTTGAATGCATATTCAAATCTGAGTATCTCAGGCCCGCGGAGTCCTGAAAGGCGTTTCTCCTTAGACACAGATTATAGGGTAGGTTCTGTAGCTTCGGACTGCAGCAGTGAAGGGAGCATGAGCTGCGGGAGCAGTGACTCGTACGTGGGGTACAACGAACGGCCCTACGTCAGCTCTCCGGACCCACAGCTGGAAGAGAACCTGAAGTGTCAGCACATGCACCCTCACGGCCGCCTTAACTCCCAACCCTTCCTGCAGAATTTCCATGACCCCCTAACCAGAGTGCAAAGTTACAGTCACGAAGAACCAAAGTACCATCACAAGCCTCCTCTTCCGCACTTGGCTATGCATTTGCAGCACCCGGCTGTGGGCGCCCGGTCCAGTTGTCCTGGCGACTACCCCTCCCCGCCCAGCTCGGCACACTCCAAGGCGCCGCACCTGGGGCGCTCCTTGGTGGCCACCCGGATGGACAGCATTTCCGACTCGCGGCTGTATGACAGTTCTCCTTCCAGACAAAGAAAGCCTTACACCCGCCAGGACGGGCTGGGCGGCTGGGACCGGCCGAGCTACGGCCCGGACGCCTACGCCTACCGGCAGACCTACTCCCTGCCGGACAACTCCACACAGCCCTGCTACGAGCCGTTCACCTTCCAGAGCCTGCCCGAGCAGCAGGAGCCCACCTGGCGAGTCCCCTACTGCGGCCTACCGCCCGACCCCCCCAGGTACCAAGACAGTCGAGAAAAGATTTACATCAACCTGTGCAACATCTTCCCGCCCGACCTGGTGAGGATCGTCATGAAGAGGAACCCTCACACGACCGACGCCCAACAGCTCGCCGCCGCCATCCTGCTGGAGAAGTCGCAGCTGGGCTGTTGAGACATGATGCACCCGTGTGGTGTTTTTCGTTCAGCTCAAATGCTGAGGGAGGTTTGCTACAATAGCACACGTGATCTCCTTCTCGGCAAGGAGGTTCTATAGTATCCATTTATGCGAAATACTGTGTCGTGGAATCTGCATGTACAGCGCCACACGGCGGGAGTTTCGCGGGATTGCTTTACATGCAAACTTTTTTAACGTTTCCTTTTTAAAGCTATATCCTTGGCTGGAGGTTTTTCCAGTTTGATTTACTAGATGTCTCTGTGACCTTTGATATTCATCTTTGGTGCATCAGGGGTTTATATGCAGCACTTTTTATCCTTGTTTCATGTTTTACTGACTCGGTGTTTGTCTATCAATTGCAAGCAATTAACAAAACCTTCAGAATGTGGAACATTTTACTAGACCTAGCGACTATTTTTTCAAGCCAAGCTTCACTGGAATCTTTTACAGCTTTTTAAGTTATTTTTATGTGGGGAAAGTGGGCTTCTTTGTGCTATAATCATTATTTATAGAAACAAAGATCTACTACGGCACTGACTTTATATCTGAAACAAAATGTAAGTTACCAGTTTATGTTGACCTGGGTAGCAGCTTATATGAGAAGGACTTAAAATATGGCACTTTTCATTGTTTTCTTTTAGTTTGGATTTTTCTGTTACGTGATGAGTTAATTTAATGTGATCGACTTAAGGGAAAGCAGATGCAATCAATGGAAAAAAATTGTTTCCATTTTTTTTTTTTAATGGGAAAGGCAAAAGCCGTTAACTGTTACCGTTTAGAGCTTGTTATCCAGCTGTGATGTGCTTCTAGACAGTAGGGATGAAATCGAATTCCTAGACTTCCACGAACCTGTCTTTTCAGTGTGTTTGTCTTTTTGTTCTGGGGCACAACAAAACTGGATAAAAGAACCCTTTCACAGTACTTGCCTGTTTTCAATGAATCTAATTATTCTCAATGCAACTTTTATATTTAATGTACTCTTTGGCTTTCCTGCTATTTATCGAGGCTGGCCTGCAGTGGTTGTGTTGAGGATATGCAACAGTTATTGAAACTGCACTATAGAGATGGTGGTGGAAGAGCTGTAAATGGTAACTTAACATTTTTGTAAGATACTGTATATTTTCCATTTTCCCGAAGACAGTTTTTTGGGGGGCCTGTTATATTATTAAGGCCAGATTCTTGCCACAAATAGTGTAGTTTTAGATGCAGACTAAAGTCTGTTCTAGTATTAGTAAGGGATATTTCTGGTTTCAAAGTCACGGGTTTTGCTAGGCGAGGATTCATTTTTTTGCGGGTAGAAGGTAGAGATTGCAACCAGCGGCAGACACCTGTGTGGCTGGCGTGACTCCACTGTTGCCTCCAGTTTCTGACTCTTCCTTAGTCTGACAGACTCACTGCGACCTGCCGCTGTCGTCTGCCTGGACGCACTGGCCGCTGGAAGCTCTTACCCAGATGGTTTGAAGTAAAGCCCTGAACAACCAGAAAGGACCTTTTACTGTTGATACAAATTGTATCTTTTTAACTACAAGAACTATTTTGATTTGTAGATCTAGTTAAAACACAAATGTGTGACTATGATTAGACTTTTGGGCAACATTTTATCCCTTATTTAAATACAAAAAAAAAAAAATCTTGAAGTAAAACTGAGGTCTAGACTAGGGTAGAACATACAAGTAACAACCTAGCTACATAAAAGTGTCTGTCTTAGTTTTAGAGCACATATTGAAATAGATTAAATACATTTATTGGCATTTTCTTTTCCCCTAAAACTTTATCTAGTGTGAACTTCACTCAAAATAAAGGTAAAATGCTGCCTGAAAATACTGTCCAAGCACCTTTGACTAGGATAACGTCTCCACTACTCGTGTGACACCGTGTGTCGCGTGGAGTAGGATTTGGATATACAGTAAATGCTTGTAAAAGGCATTGTGCATATCGACATATCCAATAATCTGAACCATGTTCAGCAAACTTAATTCAGGAAAGTGGCGTTCCACACAATGACTGCTGTCGTGGGCGAAGGGGTGTGGCTCTTGTCGGCGCCCAGAGCCGGCACCGCGCACACCCTCGCGAGAGGCGTCTGGCCGAGAGCGACCCAACTCACGTGTGAAGTTGTCCTCCTTGGTTCCATGGGTCACTCCCTGTAGAGCAGGGTTACAGGTAGGGGCCACATCCGTGCCAAAAACAGGGCTCCGCGTGTGTAGGACCTTTTCGTTTTAGTCATATTCTAAGATTTTTTTTTTCTCTGTATGAAATCATTTTCAAAGTGTAGGACGTAGGTTGCTTCCATTTTCTTAATTTTTGCCTCTTAACTGTTTGACGATCCTGCCAAACTTTACTAGGCTGATTTAAGTGAGAGCTTAGGTGAAATGTGTATCTGCCTGTAGTTTGACCTTTCGATGCTTCTGGCTAACTGTGTGTCATTGCTTCTTGGGTGGTAGGCGGTGGGTGGCGATGTAGCTTGCCCCTCACCTGACCGGAAGTGACGGCGCTGCGCTGCCCAGCCTGAAGTCCTTCCTCGTAATTGTGGGTTAAGAAATAGCAGTTTTGTTTTCTTTCTTTCTTTCTTTCTTTCTTTCTTTCTTTCTTTCTTTCTTTCTTTCTTTCTTTCTTTCTTTCTTTCTTTCTTTCTTTCTTT